TCAAAGACAATATCAAAAAAATGCCCTGGTCCAGACTTTTGTGATAATCCATCAGTAGTTTTTGTATAACCTTGCTAACAATCAAAAAACAAACTAACTAACAAAGCAAACGCAGATGAAAACAACACCTCCTGAGCATTTACAGGTGGTAGCTAGAGCTAGGCAGGGTAAATGTGAGTGTAGCCTGAGAAAGGGAGTAGAGAGTTAAAAGTGAAATAAAATCACTCAGTGACACTAGGGTGCATGCATGTGCATTAGGGTGCAAGCCCGTGTGTGAATGTATGCATGTGTGTTTGGGTATTCGTGAGCAATTGCCAGCATATCTCTACTGAAGCCTAATGTGCCTGTGTGTTTTTAGTATGTGTGTAGATCCGAGTGTGAGTGCTAGACTGTGTAAAAGAAATGCAGAGGGCATTCTCTTCAAACAGACGGTATTCAAAGAGCAGGGAGTTTCAAAAGGAGACAGCACTGAGGGCAGGCGGGTTTGAACTGTGTTTGTGAAAAGCAGTCTGCCTTTTAATAAAAAAGAGAAAGAAAAAAAGGAATTCCTGAAGTGCATTTGCCGAGTTTTCTTGGAGGAAGTAGCAGAGCCAGACAGACAGGGAGAAAGGGGGTTTACTGACCAATCAGGGAGCAATGTAAGAGAAGAGGGAGTCAGGGACTGGAAGGCAAAAAAGAAAGACAGGGGGAAGAGAAAGGCAGGACACATAGAGGAAGAACATTGGCCTGGGGCGCTGCTACGTGCTGCGCCTCCTTTCTCCCCTTTCTTCGGCGGGAGGAAAGAAAATGAGAGGAGCCGAAGAAGAACAAAAACCCACTTTCCAATGCGTACCTGTGGGAGAGCTGAAGCCGGCGGTGCCCCATATAGCTGTAACAATCTGACCTCGGCGCTGCAGGAGTGATGGCTAGTGAATTACCATGTCAGTGGCCCGGTGCCCCGTCATGCCAGCTCCCTCACAACCATAATAAACACACTCCATCACCTGCTCGCCTCAACCACACCACCCAAAGAGAGCATATTAATTATAGATGTACGTTAAATTACTTTCATTACCTCCCCTTGCTCAGTGGACGGGATGGAGACGGGGATGATGGATGGAAAGGGGCTCACTATAACTCCCCCAAGTAGTAAATGGCCCATCTCTTACTTTCTCTAACCCTGTCCCCGCCCTGTCGGTCTTTATTTTGCACCAATTCCTCCACGTTTTGTGGCTCTCTTTCCCCTTTTTGTCTCTTTCCCACATGCAGACCTGCTTCACGTCCTCAAACAATCCCAGCATGAACACTCAAACAAATACTGGTTTTTCCTGCTGTGACTCTCTGCCTACAGTGAGTGGGAGGAAAGTGGGTGAGGACGGAGTTGTATGGTTCCTAAGCTGTTTAAAGAAATGTTACTCAGAAATACAAAGATGATTCTGCAGACGTTGTTCTCGTCCAAGTGGTGGAAGTTTTTCCTTTTAAGCGTCACAATGCAAAAGTCGCTCTCGGCTATACTCGGGCTCCCCCTACAGGGAGGACGTATAATTCACTTTCTTGGGCCTGATTACCCTTACACTAGCATACAAGCTGACAAGCTAATATGGCAAGCAAGTAGCCAACATGGTTATCAGTGTGCCAGCATGATGTGTATCAATTCCAATTGAGTATTTTGGCTAACTTGGAAGCTACACCTCTGTCCAAACGGGCTTACTTGGATTCTTAAGATTAACTAGTGAGTCGACGACTTCATCACAAAGTTTAATGTCACACAGAACAGCACAAGTTTTGAGTTACTTGTCCAATTAGAACACCAGGTGGGCATCCTTCAGCCTCTTTCAGCTCTGGCCAATGAATGAAATATGCTCTGATATTTACTTTTCTTCAGTTTCTTACTCTTTCATTTTCTTGTTTCATCCAAAAAACGTCCCTCGTTTCTTTGGCAGCTCTGCCATGATGTCCACACTCAGAACGACGAGCGAGAGGTCTCTTCCAGCCAACTGCCAGCTCCAGGTGCGGTTGTTGGAGTGTGACGTATGCCTGAAAGCAGCTCGTAATGTTCCAGCACGGTACAACACAGTTACATGGTGCAGTTCCAGGCCTATGATTTATTTGTGTACTATCAAAGTTATTTTGAAGCTGTTATTTTAAGGAATAAAAGTGTTGCTTTAACAGGACCTGGCCACAAATTGAATTCCCTCCATGATAGCGCCTGCAGGGTAACAACTCGCAGGACATAAGGGAGTCAAGCAATCCCACATATCTCAAAAGATTTTATATTCAGTCTTTGCCTTTTTCAAATCAATTCATGTGAATTTCCTTTGCATAAATTCAAAATCCAGAAGTGAAGGCTATGGTTTAGTAGCAAACAGTTCAGCTGTATCACTATGGAAAGGAGAAAACTGAAGAATACAGTATTTTATTGGGCGCCACCATGTATGATGCTCATATCTTTTAAAGTCATATGGGCTACAGTGACTGAATAAATGAATGAATGAATTATTAAATGAATATGTGACCATGTTACTTAATGGAGTCAGTAGTTGATTTAAATATCTGCATACTTCACAATGTGCTTTAAGTTATGACATGAATGTAAATTGGATTTAATATTCTGTGGAAAACAAATATCACCTTGTTGGTGGGAAGGTGTCGTGACATTTCCTGTGTAAGCTCTTTCTGATGAACCTTTGCTGGACTGTTAATACTGTGTCTCCAGTGGGAATCACATGACACCTGACATCTAAAAGTTCTAATGAAGACATCTCTAATGTGGAAATAGCACACCTCTGGTGTTATCTAGCATTATCCCTCTGTGTTCTCCCTGAGCAAACAACAAAGCAACACATCTCTTCAACAAATCTAAAGGCCACCGCAGGATCCTCAGAGTGTGTGTGTGTGTGTGTGTGTGTGTGTGTGTGTGTGCACACTTGTCCTCGCTTCACCATGCTCTGTAAGTTTGATCCCACTCCGGCGACAGAAGCATTACATTGGTAGCCTGTGCTTGCTCAACACCCCGGGCCCATCTAATCTCTGCTGCTCTGAAACATCCCATTCAATTTCTTCTGCTGATAGATGCCAGTGCTCTTTGAGCCCTCTGGGAGCACATTCCTTCCTCCCCGCTTGTCTCAGACTCTTCGCTTGTGTAAGACCACTCCAGATTCATCAGGTCAGCCCCCTACTGTAAACAACCCGAGATGTGACTCACACAAATCCAAAGGTCAGGAGAAGGGCTAATAATCAACATCCACACACTGCTCTCCTGTCCACACTTGCTCTGATAAGGTAGATGCTGCTGAACATAAAAAAAGGAATATGTTCGTAGGGCACAAGCTGAGATAGTTTCATGAAGATTGATACCCAATTACAATCATGCTCCTGCTAGTTTGGTACTTGTTAAACACCAGCTGACAGTTAACTGAGAGCTGTCAATTACAGCTGGTACATGGTGATGCATTCTAATTGTAGTCCTCATTAAGAGATGAGTATTACACACACACTCTATCAGAGCCACTCTTCTTGTGTATCAGCTCCACTTTTTAATTCAGACATGGATGCTCGTCAGTGTGCTTCAAGCTGCTTTGCAATTAAATTGCATTTTGCAGCAGAGTCAGCAAACAACCGCTAAACTGAGCGACTATCTTACTGCATGAGGTGTCTTGAGCAAGGCGCCGAAACGCAAACGGCAAGAGCTGTGGACGCCACGGGGGGGATTTCTCTACTGAGGAGGCCCATGTTAACCTTCAACAGTTAAACATACATGAGACTTGACATAAACACATACCACTTCTGTGACAATGAAAAAAACTAACCAAATTTAAACTACCCAAAGGCATGTTCTTCATAATTCTATTTTTTGTTTTACACTATTTTTCAACCAGCATTGCCAAATCACCTGACCACCTCCGAGACCCTCTGGAGACCCAGATGTCTTCTTTAGCATTGAGCATGGAGGACAACGGTCATGAGGGTCTGCAGGAACACACATCATGGGGAGGGCAGGCTGCAGAGGAGGGTCAGCAGGCCAGAGGCAAGCAGGGGGTGAGCGAGAAATATAATAATGATAAACAGATTTCCAGCCGCAGCAGCACCCATCACCTCGTCTCAGGGGTAACATTCCACCTTGTCATGTCCAAAGACCTTGCATAATACAAAGCTGAGGGACAGTAGGTGGCAAAAAAAAGTGTGTATGTGTGTTTGCCCGTGCATTTCTAATTTATTGGCCCACCGATTTGCTGATGTGTGTCAGGCTCCATGCAGCTCAGGGCACTAGCCTGGAACATTTGGGCCTTGCTTCATTAGGTGCTCACGGCCTTAAGCTGCTGACATTTCCAAACTTGTTCCCCAGTATTTTAATTGTCGTGAAAAATTGGAAAAAGCCAACACTGGGAGGTCGTGTGGTAGATTCTGATTTGAAGGAATTTCTCGGGTCTGAGTTTCGCTTACGTCGCTGCCTGAATAGTTGATGAAATGTTTGCTTTCATGCGTCCTGGACAAAGAAGAGGGTGATGAAAGAAATGAGAACAGTCATCTGCAGATGAAAATCATCGTCAATATGCAAGACAAATTAAATATGACACAAAAAAAAAAAATATATATATATATATAATTATGCATGTGGGTTTTTTACAGGTTAACAACATGGCATCAATAGTTTTTTATCCAAATGTGTAAAAGTTTTAATAAAACACTCACACTTTTGATATTTAACAATTTAGTAAATGTAAAAAGCTTCCATTGAATACTCTGCAACACAGAATTCACTAGTTTTGATTATTTGTAAAACACATTTTATTTTGTCACCCGGTCACACTCAACAAACACAATTTATTCATATGTGCAAATGCATACAGTATGAAATCAATTAACAGTGAATGCAAACTTTATTTTATTACTTTAAACTTGACTTTAGTTTAATTTATGCCTAAATAACAAATACTTCTCAATGTCAGCAAAAATGATTGTGTTACTATGGGACACACAACAGTTTATAATGTGTTAATAATACACAAATTAAAAAAAGACAGGTTACTGAATGTTTATTGCACACTTCAGAACTGAATGTAACATTAATTGACAGTAAATACAGGAGGAAAAACCTCCATGTCTTCAATAGCAGTTTAAGTATTTCATGAACAAAACTTATTGCTGATTTTATAAAAGTACACTCTTGTGCAAAATATCTGGTGCCGGTCCTGTTAAGTTAACACCAGAACAATTAAAGCGCCCACATTGACTGCTTCATCATTTTCCTCTTCCACCCACCTTGCCATTGTAGCAATGTTGGTAACAGTGTCTGTTCTTGTGAACCAGCTGATAGACCAAACAAAACGTTTCACAGTTTTTATTTTGTAGCCCTGATATTTCATATGCAACATTAGAACTGTGTAATATCTACATCAGAGTAAAAACTGCCTGGAGGTGGGAATCTTATGATGACTGACGCTTTATGGAAAGGAATGCAAACAGGGCGTTTCAGGATGTTCGTGATCAGCATTTGCTGTGGGAGCACAACTTTTATATTCAGTTAAAAGCTGTTTGACAAAGTAAAAGGAAAAGCATGAAAAACACAATATGGGCACTGAAAACTCTTTTGATTAGATTCATCTGATACAAGCGGTGAGCACTAACAGAAAAGAAATGATGACCACGTAACAGAATAAAATTAACAATTCCTGCATTTCATTCAATCAGAGACTTACCCTGACATTTTGAGGCTAGCTGCCTTCATTAGCCACAGTCATTCAATGTAATACAGTGCAGCCAAAGGAACACATCACATACACAATCCAGAGGTAGCTATTAAAGAGCAGTGGTAAAAAAGAAGCAGTGTGTCATCTGCACACACTGCTTTTCCTTCAACTGACCTCTAGGGTGCGAACAAACAAATGGACAACAGTAGATAGATGGTTAACTGAGCCAAGACAGTGAGACAGTATTTTTTACATAAAGCACCTTCTCACTGTCAAGTCCTCCCAAAGAAAATACATGTCTACAGTCAACTGTTCTCATCATCTCTCACCAGCCTGTGGACATGGAGGTAGGTTCTAAATGTAAATGCTATGTAGCTAATTGGAGCTTCCTGCAGAACTTAGTTAATACTTAAAATCTGAATTAAAAACAAATAAAATATTGTGAAGAGCTGACTAAAATGTCTGTGTTTGGAATGCAATGGAAGGTCATTTATGGGTCAAGAACTCCTTATGTCCTTTTTTTTTATTTTCAGGGGGTTTTCACTTGTGGGGGATCAGACCTACAGCCAATCAGAGTAACAAACGTGACAGTGCAGAGTAACAAAAAAATGTAAACAGACTACAGCCAACAGTAGTTGTTTTTCTTTGAGAGAAACTATACCACCCTGTTCATTAAACAGTGTTTCTATTGGATTCAACAGTAGTAGCCATCTTAGTTTTTAGGAAAAGTGCTTCTCATCAACTCATCACTCATCAAATCAAACCCGCCCCGTTTTATATAAATGGCTGTGGTTGGCTCGACCAGTAACAGGACAGACGGAAACCAGTCTGAATGGGAAGGGGGGCCTGGCTCATCTTCCAGGGTGAATAAATATGAGCCTGCTGATTGGTCTGGCTTCCAGGCTGTATCTATATCCAAAGTGGTGCTGTTTTTACCAAGTGTTGGCTGCACTAGGGAAGTGTTCTTGGTGAACGCACTGGTCTATCAAAGAGGAAAAGTTGCAAAGGGTCAAGCTCATGTAACAGAGTGTGAAAACAAGCTTTTGTTCCCAGCAGGCTCTGTGGATGCAGCACAGGTTTAACATGAAGGTGTAATGTGTCTTTCATTACAAATAAAGAAACAGGCAGAAGGACTGAATGTTGTGTGGAGGGATGTTTTTCTGTGCAGCCCAAAGGCCTCTGGGAGCTGCTGCTATACATATGATTGTATTGCTCCTCTATTGGCAGCACATATAATTTCAAACGGTTTACTGTAAACGCTGCATTTACTCACTTAGAGAAAGCAAAATGGACAGAATCCTGTCTGCTCCAGCAGCACTACACTTATGACCCCTAGAATCCAGGCTGAACAGGGGCATATGTTTAATTTGGTGTTCCTGTGTAATTCGTGGATCTCGGTGGATTCTACTCTTTAGCTGTGGGCTCAGTTCCTTCCATCACTGCCTCAGGAGTAGGTTATATCTGTACCTCTGAGAGGCTCACCTGCTCCTGGTTCTCTGAGGGTTTTTCCTTCTGCTCTCTGTCCTTTTCCATCTTCTCTTTATCTAGCATGTGGTAGTTGTAGATGTTTGTCACGAAGAGAAAGAGTCCACCTGCCACGATCACAGAGCCGCACATGAAGAAAAGGTACTTGTAGTCGCCACAGATGTCCACCAGTAAACCTGTGCGGAGAAGGGCAGCAAAGAAATGTTGATATTTCAAACTACTGGTCCATCACGACAAGCAAAACACAATATGTCACTGAATAGTATCTTCATTTGACCACTTGACAAGTTTGGAGATGAAGAGCAAGACCAAACTCAGATTTGGCTTATGTGTGGAAGAGAGAGAGCGTGAACTGGAGCCAGACTGAGAAGAGCCGTGTCAGAAACGACAGAGGGCCATTACACTCTTCCTGGCTCTCACTGCATCTCTGGGAAGGCTATTTGGGCGGCTGCTACCAAAACGAATCAGAGGAGAGGCCCATTCTGAGAGCCATAAATACCAAGCCCAAGTCTGCAGACAAGTGACAAATGTGGTTTAGATCAGACGTAAGCTTCCAGGTTTTCAGAGACTTTACTGCATCCTCCCCGACCCCCAACACCCACTCGCCCTCCAGATATGGATCGATGGGCGAGTGTTGCCATACCTCTCAATCTAAGATGTTCTGTGTATTCAGGTCAATATATTAAAATCCCCATTTATCTCACTTCAGAACATAAGTAAATAATAACCAAATTAATTGAATTGAAAATGAAAATAACAGGACTGAAATGTTGAAATAATATAATAATATGAGCGAAAAAAATGGGAGAAAACATTATATAAGAGGAGAAAGATATTTTTTGATTGCTTTCTACAATCTGGGGGTCGAAGTGACTTTTGTACTTTGGTACAAATTTAGTTCTGACAATGATTTTGAGAACTATAAGTTCAATAAGCCTGTTGCTGACTGTGATTCTTGACTAGACAGATGTGACAGGGAAAAACAGAGAATTCACATCAGTTCTGGATCATGTCATGAGAATGAATTAGCTGTTCAGTTTTTTGTATTTGTGTGGGTGTGTTTCCTATGGAGATAAGTTAGGAAGCATTGAAGCACCGTTCCTAATCATTTAGAAATTGTCATCAGGCTCACATCATTATGGAAGTTGGTTGTTGTTAAATGTACATGCATAGCAAGTTGTTCATCAAAACTGTTTTATTAGAACCAAAAATGTGTGAGATGAAGTAGCCAGCTGGACTTTAATGAGTAGATGGTTGTCTGGAAGGCAGCCAGCGTTTCTGCTTCCCACAGGTTTTCATGATGAAAAGCGTGAAGCTGCCCACCTTTAGCCTGCATGAGAATTTGCATTTTTGTCATAAATTGTGTTTTTAAAATTGGCTCGAAGTGTCACACTTTTTTTTGTCCCTTTAGATCTACAGTGATCTCATAAATGACTTTTCTGGAATCCAACTGACAGAAATCCATCATAGTAACTAAAAACTTCAATCTCTTTTGTCATATATTATATGATGAAGTCTCTTCCTGACAGAGGCATCAGCCAATTTGGGACGCGGGAATGTTATTGAGATTTCTGATGAAGTCAGGAGGTGTTCCTATAGTGAGACGCTCGCTCCTGCTAATCAGAGACATGGGTTTATTCCTCAGCATCATTTGAGAATTTAAAAAAACAGTGAACAGTTTTTCAGTGTGGAGGAAGTGCATAACATTTTACTTCAGTAAAAGTGAAATGTTTAAGTACCACATTAACTTTTCCACTTGAGTAAAAGTAAGTACTTGCTTCTAGTATATTTAAAGTATTGAAAGTAACTTGCGTGTAGCCTATTCCCTGATGCAATTATCTGTGATCTAATACATCATTATTGCAGGGTGGTGTTTGCCAGTGATGGCGATGCTGCTCTTTGCTCTCGCTAAAGGAGGTGGAGTCTAATGTTTCTGGCACGCTTTGATTGCATCGATTCCCCTTTCATCATTGATGAACTCTAAAAATCTGAAAATGTAGTGGAGTAGAAAGTACCGATATTTGCTGATATATGTAGAAGAGTAAAACTGAAAAGTACCTGAATATAATTCCACTTGAGAAAAGTAAAGAAACCTGAAAAATGTACTAAGGTGTAACTAAGTAAATTTACTTTGTTACATCCCACACCTGCAATTTATTTTCACCCCAACAACAACCTTCAGCTTCTTTCTTCTTCCAACCCCGAAGAAATGTTTTGTTCTGACTGCTGAGACAGTTTTACTTAACAATGTGGGAGGCACCTTTATTGCTTACCACACAATCGATTAATTTTATAGGGCAGTTTCCTTCCTTGTTCATCTTAAGTACACTAATTATCATCTTTACGACAGATCCTGATGATGTTTATGTGCGTGTGTGCACTTACAGTTGGACACTGGCATGGGTCACATTTGGATCAGTTCCAAGCATCTCAATGACGGCCGCATCGTCTGATTGATAGCACTCATCTGATGCGTGTACGCTGGTGACATAGGCCTCATTAAGACTATCCTTGATTGGCTGAGCAGTAATTAGGTCTATTTGGTGTGGTCACCTCTTTTTAATGCATTCACAGCTTAATTATGGCCCAGGTACAGGACTTTGACGACGAGAGTTTGAACCGAGCGTCATTAAACACCCAAAGCAAAAGGCTAATTACACCCACTTAACTCGCTTTCTCCTAATTGGATTGACCCGCAGGTTTTGAGGGAGCAGTAACAAGCAGCGGAGTTGGGGGAGAAATAACGATTGTGCCCTCTGGAGGAGAACGTTAGACGTGCAGGGAGGCACTTATTTACCCTATTAAATGAGCGCCTGAGAACACAGTCGCACCAGACAAACTGGGGGCCTATAAATTTTCACCTCATTAAAACCTGGGTTGGAGGCAAAACAGAGGTTTGTCACTGGGACGATATGCACAGTTGATGAGCAGGTACTCGACGCCCTCTGTGTATTTGTCAGGGACACTGAATGAACTCAAAAGTTGGTGGACTGATTGTTGCACAGACAGCGAATCAGTTACTGGTGAGGAAGCTTGTGAGTGTTATGCAGTTTAAATCTGTTTAATGGCTCAAATACTCATTACACGTGCAGATGGATGTTGTGATGTGGACTTCTGTGAGCGCAGTGTGTGGGATTATAGAGACAAAGAATATTAAAGACATGTGGTGCACGTGGTTAATGTAATGCTTAATGTTTCAATTTTTTTCAATTTTTATTTTAACTTGTTTGAAAAAAGGGTTAAGAGTTAATGGTTTCAGCAAATGGTGAATCACCAGACAACAAACCAGTAAACTTTGCAACATGTTTGAATTTAACTTAATGAGAATCCTCCTTGTTTCATCATTGGTGTGATGCAGGAAAATCTTCACCTCCTGGTTTGTGCGGGCTATAACTACCTCTGCCAAGGAAGATATGTTTTCGTCTGCGTTTGATGTCTCTTTTTAGCAGAATAATGCAGAAACTAGAATTAAACTCGATGGAAGGATGTGGCAGGTCAGGGAAGAACCCATTAAAATGTGGTGTGGATCAGGGGGCGGATCCAGGTATTTTTCTGCAAAATAATTCTGGCCTATTTGGCCTTTTTGGTACTTTTTATGCAGTTTTGTGGAAATATATCCATGTGAATTGTTTAAAGACCATTTCACAGCAAAGTAGCTGCATTAGCATTAAGCATCAATAAATTCACGTGCTTGAAGAACTTCTTTTCTGCCTGCCTCAATTCAAAGTGCTATTACTCAATTGAAAAACTATTTTCTTGAATGGCTCCTTTCTCAAAGACAGTTTCTATCATTGCATACAAAGCCTCAGTTTTTAATCAATCAACAAAAGAATGTCTTACAGTGGGATTTTCAAAAAGTGCAACTGTCTTGAAAATGGCAGAGAGGGTAAACAATATCAATCTGATTACACAGTAATTCTTACCATGAAGATAGCTGTCCAACACTTTTATCTAAAGCTCTCTCAGACACAGCAGTGCTGGGGTCATACATCATCAGACGATAACAGCTTTTTCTACTATTTCTTCAGCTAAGCAAAAATAAGTTCAGTGATTCCAATTGTAGATTTATGCTGTGAAATAAAATAATAACACAAACCCTCACTTATAATTCCTACCAAGAGAATAATTTATCAATGATGTCCATTTTATTTATATGATCTATTTATTGAGCTCTGTGACAGGCAGCGATGTTATCGAGGAGACGTGATTGCTGGAGCTCCCGTGAGAAATGTCTGGGGATTAAGAGTCTGCTTTTTTACTGTTCTAACATGTTCACTATAGATTAGAGATCATTAAGCTTCAAAACTGTAGCTGCGGGGTTTTTAATTGAGGTGTGTGACATCATTCAGGCTCTTGTTTTAGATTCAAGTAACAGTATCAAGAAATATAAAATCCCCTTGGCCATTCAGCGTCAGACAGGAGCACCATAAGACAGCTATCAATTGTCTAGTGAGTTAAAAGTCTCTGTTTGTAATTGAGAGAAAAGGATCCGTTTACACTATTTGATTGTTGGTGTATGGTTTATCATATTCTACAAGGTAGATACTTAAACACTGACTACATGGACACCAATATTCTGACTTTTGCCCTTACTCTTAATACAATTACTGTATGTCCATTGTGATGTTACATGAGTTGCTGCGAACATATTCCTTTAATAATCCAGTGCACATGTTACAGAGCTAATTCTGATTATGACTCACACCATTACATCCGATGTTATTACAATTACAATCCCAACCTGAGATTGTTTACTGTACGATGCTGCCCTATACTATTTTGAGTGTTTTCTTTCTGATTTTGCAAAAGCTATCATTTATTTTTATTTTTCCATCTTGTTTTCATGTGTCATCAAGCAGATGGTAACTGTGAAATGTCAATGTCACAAAATGCAGTAAAAACTCCCGTAGGACATTAGAATGTGATTAAGACTACATCAAGAGAATTACTGTATGTCTGTCAACTCCATTTCTTAATTTGATTATTGCTCAATCCCAGTATGGTAAGGTCATCAGTGTCTTCTTCACACTATTGTGTTTATCTGTTTAATATCAGCATGTTAGTGTTCATGTAGAAATGGTCATTGAAAAGCATGTTTGTGTTTTTAAACCAGTCAGACTGATTCTATGTTTTCTGAGATGGATAGTTTTTGTTGAGTGTGTTTAGGTACCTGCAGTAGGGGGTCCCAGTAGCATGGGGAAGCACTCGATGATGGTGACCATTCCAACAGCACTGGGGAAGCGCTGACTTCCCATCAGGTCCATCAGGCATTCAAATATGAGGGCGAAGACCATTCCAAAGCCAATACCAAAAAACACTGTGTATCCGATCAGGAAGGCATGGGTATTCAGCAGCGGGCACAGTAAGTGGCACGTACCGTTGAAAACCATAGCAAAACTGAAGAGGTACTGGATTCTGGGTCTGATCCACTTGCTGTTGGCCAACAGACCGGTTCCAGGACGAACAAACATGTCCACGAAGCCCATAATAGAGAGCAGATAGGCCGCAGAGTACTCATCTACACCCTGGCTGATGGCATAGGCAGGCAGGAACACGATGGGCGCATAGGCACCGAAGATGAACATCATGTTTCCTATGAGGTAAAAGACGAAGCCTCGATTCTTGAATAAAGACACATTTAAGAAGTTCTTAGCCTCCTTCATGCAGCCTTTTTTTACCTTAGTGTTGCACATGTTCGGCTCTTCTCCCACCATCTTCTGTGATGCACAAGAGTTACAAGGCAGAAGAACTGGTCTCATCAGGGCCCCAGCGACACAACAATTGAGCATCAGAGCCCCGAGGATGAGCAGACTTCCTCTCCAGCCAAACTTGTCCAGTAAATATTGGTTTAGAGGGGCCACTAAACAAAGAAACACTGGACTCCCAGCCATGGCCAGTCCGTTGGCTAGAGGACGTCTGGCCAAGAAATATTTGCTGATGATGGTCAGGGATGCATTCAGATTTAAGGAGAGTCCACAACCTGTGTGGAGACAGATCGAAAAATAAATAAATGCACAGAAACTTTAAGAAAATATTCAGTAAGAAACTCTTGTTGAACCCAAACTCCAAAGGGCACTTGCTAAATTAAATTAAGAACTATTCAGCATGGTGCTCATTAAGGTCCCATCTCATTTCAGTTGTGCCAGCTAGAATCTCATCACAGAAAGCTGAATTAATTCAGAAATGACTTCTCCTGTTAAATGGAGAGAAATTAGGCAGTCTGGGTAACATGTTCACTCTCCAGTGTTTTTACCAATAAATCAATCAAGATGGAAGCTACAGGTTGGTATTAGGCTGCTGTATTAGGCTGCTGTATCTGTCTGTCAATTCATTCCTCTCTGGTTCCAAAAGAAAGCTCCTGGAAAAAAGGTTTTCAATTCAAAGTCTGTCCAAACAGAGGACTAGCAGAGGACGTTTCATAGATGTGGAATTGAGAAACAGTTTCTTCCATAAAGAGGAAACAGCTATCTTGATGTTACAATGTCATTATATATAAATATAGAAGTGGAAGTGAAACATTATTTTTGCATCATCAAATGTATTATTAATTAATTATCAAATAATAATTTAATCAATAACCCTCTGTCATAGTTTAGGAAATCAGACTAGAAACTTCACAGTCTGTTTTTTATTAAAAAGGTTCTTATTCATTTATGTAATCACAAATAAGGTGGCTTCTCTGAGTGACTGGATCAATATTTTAACTGTGTTACAGAACAAGCTACTCTGAGCACTGTTAGTCACTGTGTAGGTCTGACATGTAATCAGGTTTGTGACAGGTAGACAAACATTTCTGAACAGTGGAGGAAATGTTTGGCCATCCAATAATAAGAAAGATGTGGTAGGGGTCAGAGAAGAACCCATTACATTTTGAAGTGGATCCAGATCGGGGGGGGGGGATCCTGGATTTAACATGTTTGGGGACTGATATGTATAAGTGTGTACAATATTCTGCAATGTAAATTTAAGTGCGTCTTCATAAGAGGACTGTTGGGCCTTGGTGAGGCATAACTTGACATGGCAAGTTATTTTTGAATGATTTGGATTTTCCCCTTATATACCTCATACATTAATTGCCTTAGTAATTGATATATTTTCCCACATCACAACACACAATTACCTATATGACCAAACAATTAATCTTTCACCTTAGAGTACATCAACACAAAAAAGACACATCACATTATGAACCCCAGAGGGTTCAACTGTCTATTCAAGCATACTTATTTATACATACATTCAATGGTGCAGTAACAAGGAAATGATCCCTCAGATTTACGATTAGATATTCAAACAATGTTGTTATAGGTGCTATATGCTATAATTCATGCTTTTATTTCCTCTCTCCTTGACTACTGCAGGTCTCTCTATGCAGGAAAAATAAAGTGCTTTTAAACCACTGCATTAATTGGTATCCAGGGTGTTATCCCTGAACTGCTCGTCCCTTATTCTATCTCCATTTGTTGGAACCACAGACGACCAAATGAGAGGAACTGTCACCTGGGATTTGAACCGCAAACCTCTTTGGTAACAAAAGGTAATAAAACAGCTTAATACATCACTTCCTTTTAAATATCCCATGTGTAAGTGATTGACTAAAGAATCCACTATCCCCTGCACACTATAGCTTAAGCATTGCACAGCTAACAGCTTTTTTTCTTCCCCCACCATTTTGACATCTCCTGTCACTAACTTTTTTTGCTCTATTAAACATATTTCTGGAGCAATTTATCACTTGAACGTCCTCTGTTGCCCCACATACTTTAAAATATAAACCTTTCAGAGATTGAACGTCTATACGCCGACCTCTGCGCCTCGTATGAATCCACAACTAATTTCTGCAACCTTGTATAATGACAATAAGCCTGACCTTGGTTGTTCATGCCAACTTCAAAATCCGTCCTCCCCTACAGGACATGAGGATAACTGCTAACTGCAAGCCACTCACTGATGCTGTTAAGTTTTTACAACTAATTAGTTATCTCTTTGAATCCGTCAGCATTTGTGCATGCATGTGTGCACATGTGAGCATGTCTGCTAGGTAAGACGTCCTGATGCCTTTGCGTCAGTGTGCCAGGGCACCAGGGAGCAGAGCAGGGCTCACACATGCTCCCAGGCACCACACATGGTCTGGCCACTTGCTGGGTCTATTAATCCATCACAGCAGTCCTTGGCAGGGTAATGAGCCTCACTGGGTGGCAGGGAAGCCCCATGTGACGTCCATAATGGTAGCCTATGGGAGAGTACAGAGGGCCACGTTAGGACCATGCTCTCTGGGATCAGGGAGGCTTCTGTCTTAATTACTGTCCTGGCTCTGTCCCCCTCAGTGCTCTAACCGCACCCCAGGAGCCGGGGCAGGTGCCAGGGGCCCCTGACAAACTGCACAGCAGCCCAGTCAGTAGAGGCTAGTGTGGTAACCCTGTTGTCATGACAGAATCTGAAAGGAGGCAGGCTGCCAACCTCCCAACCACATGGGGGCTTCACTAGGGCTGATGGGAATGGTAAGAAAGAAAGAAAGTAATCCATATTGTGAAATTAGCTGGCTCATTCACTGGATTGCCTTGTTTTAGTTTCAAGCTATGATCTCTTGGTCAACAAAGACCCCTTCACACCTCATATTAACATGCGTCCGGAGTGATCCAATCACAAGTGGTAAGAAATAAGTTCAGGTCTGAACACACCCATGAGTCCTGAGATCAGATCACTCAAACCACATTCAGAGGTCGTCTGGGATGCATGCGGCTACATTCTTTTCGCTGCTTGAACACAAATGCATCCTGAGCCACATATGAAGGACCACCTGCCCAGCTAATGTTCCCTGCCCCACTACAGTTTCATTGATTGACAGTTTTTCTCAAATTGGTCAATTCTTTCTTCACACACAAGCGACACATAATTAATGTATCCCCTCCTGACTCCTCTCTCTCTGACACATCTGTGAATGCATACTGGGTAAAAACAACATCATTTAGTATTCATGAACAGAAATTACATATGTGATTATTTGCGTATAGGGCAGGGAAGTGAGAACTAATCACAAGTTCACATTCAGGATGGATTTCAGGCGTGAACACACATACTTAATATCGTCCCCTTGTGATCAGATCCCTCAGGACGGATATTGATACCTGGAATGATCAAGGCCTAATTTTCTATGGATTCTCAAGGCCAACATCGAAGTAGTAGAATTAATAAAAATGGTAAAGCAGTGTCACATGAAACTGTAAAAAAAAAAAAAGATTTCGTACAACAATATCCAAGCACTGTACCTCCAATGATGCCAATGAAAAAGTAGATGTAAACGATGGAGTTCCCAAAAGAAGCCGTTACCATAGAGACCCCACACATCAGTCCACCCAGCATCACTATTGGTCGGCTTCCAAAGCGACTGACCAACATACTGCTCACAGGTCCTGCAGAGAAGAGGAGAAAGTATCAACATTTAAATATTACATCTCAATACAACAGTTTTAACATTTAGCTTCCACTCTGCTAGTGTTCAAGGACTCAGAGAACAAGTCCTCAATCGACTGAGTGATGGAACGCCTCTGTACTTTTGGAATTTACTGCAAAGCAACTTGGCGACTCATTATACTCCCCCGATAATGTAGAATACTACACTGTGATCAATCAGCAATTAAACAGCCTTTTATATTCTGTCACTCTTCCCTCCATCTCATAACCTTGCCTGAAAAGAGTGAAGCTCCAACACCAGCCTTTCAGCAGCGCGCCATAATGAAAAAGTCATTTTTCCTCCCCGCTATGAAGACCAATCCTTTGAATACATAATAATTTAAATCAAACATAGAAAAATGGGTAGAGGTTCAAACTAATACACAGGCTGCCGTGATTATTGAAGGCTTCACATGCTGCGTAGGAGGAGCGTGTGTGTGGATGGTGATAACTGAAAACAGCCTGATCAACAGCAACATTATTTAATATTAGACAAACACCTACTGTCTTCACCAGGATATTTACCAGGCCTCATTATCAATTTCTCAGCGCATAATAAAACCACTTTTGTCTTAAATCTGTGGATATTCTGTATTGCTTTGAATGTGCCAACATGTCTGTGACCACATTCTTTACATGTACAAGTTAATATACTTTGTTTACTTGTGAATTTCTTAAGGTACACTTATACATACATATTATTGATTAGTAATTTTTCCATCCATCTGTCAAATCTAAATTAATATACATTTATTTTAGCTGAGTTTCCGATATCTACAAGTTTCTGATAAAAATATCTGATTCATCACCTGCTAAATGCAGAAATACCTGTATGAGCACATAGAGGTTATTCTAATCCTATCAATATTATTTATATTTACAGTAATTTTTGTATTGTACATATTTCATATAGATGAGAGGTTCATCGACTGATCCGATATACTTTTTTTTTTTAGCTGGAGAATAGTTTTTACATCTGCTGCTTCTCTCGGTGAACATTTGCACATTTGCATCTAACATCATATTGCAGTGGTTTCTTTGTGTAAGTGGTTGAGTAAGGGCTGTACGATGTGCAAGATGTTTATTTTGTGGAAATCAATTGATTACAACATGGACAAGACGTTAACTTTGATTTAAAAAGTAATGATGCCACCCTGAGTTACTTGCGTTAGCAGCAACAAACTTTAGTCTATGATGTTCAGTTGACACAATTTCATATCAAGTTAAATTTCATATTCACTTGGTGAATGTAAAATAAGTTCCATGATAAACCCTTAAAGGTGCTACAACAATGGTGTTTACCTGATACCTGTTTACCTGAGCTGAATTATCAATCATTTTATCTAAACAAAATGAATCTTTCCTAAATTTATCTTGCCAATATTCAGCCATATTTACCAGCTGCTAACTTAGACTGGTATATGGTGCAGCAGACACTGGCTCACAGAGCTTCTTTACAGTAAACTGCTAAAGCCAGAGAAACTGGTGAGGGCAGTGAGACTGACCAAAACATTTAGTTGTTGGCCATGGAACCGGAACCAGAAGCTAAAAATGTGAGAAAATACTGTCGACCCGAGGTGGTCTGCAGAGTCTGGAGATAATTCTGTGCAGGTTCTACCACAAGCAACTTCTATCACATTATACAGTCATTTGTTTCACTATGAATATAAAAATATTGCTTAAGCCACAAAATAAAGACAAACTTCTCAAATGCATCTGTGTTTTCATCTCAAGTAAAATTGTATTTCACAGTTCTGGATGCTTGATGCTACTTAACCATTTCTGATTATCCTCATTTCATGTGATATTAATGTTCGATATTTAGCCTTCCTGTTGAAAATAGATAGACAGAAGACAGCTCCTTGTCGTACAAAAGCAGAACCACAAGGGCTGAGCTAAAAACACATTTTAGAATATATACAATAGATAATTATAACAAAAGACATGTGTGTCCATCAACAGAACATCATAGGTGCATTTCAGATGTTTAATTTCCCTCAGGCCTATGTACCATAAAACTAGTTTTAACTAGATTTTCTAGTTTCATGTCAAACTGTAAAGGATCTTTCTCAACAGTTATACAGTTAACCAGGCGCCTGCAGGGGTCAAACATAGATCATCTTCCTCACTGTAGCTGTGTCACAATAGGGCATCTCCCACACTTTCACCATTTCCACTTCCATTATAACTTTATCATTTGGACTCCTTGAGTCAGAGGTTTTCTGGAAAGGCTGTCATGCGTCTCCCACGGGGACGAGGCATCAGACCCCAGTGTGCTGAACCCTCCTCTGATATATACCCCCTGTCTTTCTACTCCACTTGGTGACATTGCTGAAGCCTTGCCAAGGACAATATGATAAAGCCCTGTGCCTGAGCCACAGTGGAGGGAAATATTTCACCAGTAAGGCCTCTCCGAGTTGAGTGCAGGTGAGTCGCACGCCCTCTTGTTCTGTAACCTTGAAAAGCGGCCAATGATGAATTAATGTTACACGACACAAGACATTTATTTCGGCACGTTGCGTGACATCTAACGAGTTCTCCAAGGTTCATTTACAGACTAAAAAGAAGTGATTCCCCATTTCTCTAATTGCTTTGCACCTTGTGAAAGCAGTGGTGAAACTAATTAGTTGAGGCTAGCGTAGGTCTGGACAATAGGGCCAAAATATGTCAAGGTAAAAATAAACCAGTTGTAATTGATAACTATCGAGATAAATCACACATTATTATTTCATAGTAGTTTAAAGACTGATTTTCTCTCCTGAGTGAAGGTTGTGGTTTTAAACTCTTCATTATGAGCAGAGAATGACAAACACTTGATAAATAGCAAAACATTTAACAAATCTGAGGAAGATCAATTCTGTGTTTAATCTCCTCACTGTACTAACACAACGCATATATCAATATTGATCCTTTGTTAGGAAAAATAGATTGCAATAATTATTGAGATTGTTATATTGCCCAGCACAAGACTATTGCCCCATTGATGATGAGATGTTAAGCAGCAACCCAGAGGTTTTCAGTTTGTCATCATCCAACTGTTGTCACACACATTATATAGCTATCAGATAAGTAACAGAGCCAAGCACATTTTTGAGTGTTAATAATAAAATAAGAAAGATAAACAGAAGAAAGACACTGTTCCATTTTACATAAGTAATCTACTGGGCAGGTGCAACTATCTGATGCGCTTAATGACTAAGTTTTGGCATCAATAAAGTAGTTCCTCTGTCCCACCACACTGGGTCAAGTGGGTATCCCAGGACCAAGCTGGCCCTCCTCAACAGTCTATCCAGTCTCTTGCTGTCAGCAGTTAAAATGCTGCTGCTACAGCAAATAACCAGCCAATGCCCCCACTGAGTCATAAAAGGTCTTCAGGTGCGCCCCCTGCACTCCAAAAGAGATACAGTCTGCTCTGGCCCTTCTTATGGAGTGCGCTGGCATGATAAGTCCGATCCAGTTTATTGTTCAGATGAACACCAAGGTACTTAAACCTTATATTCCCTTTGCTGCTGTAGCATGGGAAATTTCCTTAGTGGGACAAATAAAGGTTTATATTATCGTATCTTAACAGTCCCCTGGTCTGTCAGGGTTATTACAGTCCCTCCAAGTTCTGTTCCACACATTGCATTACCAACAGTCAGGTTATTCACATATATTCTGTTTGAATGAGTTAGAATCAGGAAAAGATAAACTTAAAATGACAGTCTAAACTGTGTCAGAGAAGATAGTTTAATTAAAGTCAGGCGAGTCGTACATGCAACCAACATCCCCCTTATTACGCAGCCTCAAGCTATTTGAGTGGGTTCAGTCGGTCATGTGAAGTCAATTTCTTAATTTTCTATCTGGTCCAAATGAGTCGACAGCACAACCATACACATTCTTCAGGGAGAGGATAGATGCCAAATAGTAAAAAGGATTTTTCCATTTGCTAAAACTGGAATACACTTTCTCAAATTTTAGCCGTAATGTGACTGTATGAATAAAAACCACTAACTTCTTATTCGCTCTTACAGATATGCAAGTCTGCAGTCAAGGGGTAGGTTGTGGTTTGTTCAAGTACAAATTCAAACAGAAGCTATAAGGCAATGTAAACAGTACTTGATCAGTCCATAATCCCAAACATCGTCCAAATACAAGTCCAGCTGGCCCTTTTTTGGCGTATGTTTCAAAAGCCTTTGAGCAGTGAATAGACTGGAGCTTTATGAGGGAGCACTGAGTGCAGTTGCTAGCCTCAAAGGGGTTAACCAATAGATAAGCCCATTAGAGGGCAACACACATGCTACAAGAACGGAAGTTTGCTATTTTTGAGCTGCCATCACCACAGAAGGACCTCGATTGTACAAAAAATATATTTTCATAACATATTTTGGATTTACTTGATTGTGAAATGCAATTTAAAACCAAGGTATTTGGGGAGAAAACTGTTAATAATGAAAACATGAACTTTACAGCTAATGTGACATGAATGACAATGACTGTGACTGCACCAGACAACCAGCTAATTATTGATCAATGATGGCAAAGTAGATAAAGAATAAACTTTGATTCTGTATTTAATTCAGCTTGGGGGAAAAACAATAAATGAATTAAAATAATTAGTTTGAACTGAGTTGGCTTTTGTGAAACATGTTCCTAGACTAGAACATTATCCATAAAAACTAAGTTGGTATCAAGGTCATTATCAATAAGCATTAATCAGTGGACAATATTGCTGATAATCATAAGTGATGAAACCAATGTGATTTTGTCTGACCATTAGAGCATTTACTGACTGAATCCACTCACCGCCTGCATACATGACTGCCAGCATGATGGAGGAAATCCATGCTATTTCACTGTAGCTGGCCCCTAAGTCCTCTTGGATGGCCTTGAAGAAAATGGACAGGACTTTGGGCGTGGAGTAGGCGAACCCAATGGAAATGTGAGCCCCAAACACAACCATCCAGCCCCAACCACCATCCAGAGGTTTGTAGCCCAAAGAGTCTGGTGGTGAGGGAGGCATGTTCCTGTTCAGAGAGAGGAAACAAACGTATGTGACACTATATTATCAAAATAACAGAATATATGTTGTACCTGGAACCAGAAAGTAGAGCCTGAGCTGTGCCTGAAAGCAGAATGTGTATTCTGTGTTGACAAATTAGGCTACGTCAAATGATTCCAAGGAACAAACATGAGAGCGTCCACAGATTGTTGTGTATTTTCTACAGAGAAAGAAATGGAGTACCTCTGCCACCGCTACAAATCATAGCACGAGATGAATTTCAAAATAAAAGATATCACTACCAAATAAAATGACACATAGTGCAAGCAAAAGTTTTTTTTTTCGTTGTTTTGATTTTGTGAAAGATTTGATTACATAAATCCTGATTGCAAACACAAGAGCGGACTGTAACTACGCACAAAATAACCATTGTATAGACACATGTGTACCGGAAGTTATTTTTCATTCATCACGTCAAGCTCTGAATATGAGTGTGGTGGTCACATGTGACCTTTAGGTGAAGATCTTCTTTTTGACTAACATCTAGGTCAGAGACATGTGACAGTGTGTTTGGCTAATGAGGACCACAGCGTTATTTACGCAACACACACACACACACACACACACACACACACACACACACACACTATGTAGTCAGTGCCGTATATTTAACGCTATTCAAGAATTAAACTGCAACAAGTATTTACGACAAACATACAGCGCACTTTTATCCTCATTGTTGAACTTCAGGCGCTTTACTTTGAAAAGACAAAAAGACGTAAAGGAGATACACGTGGACGAGTGTGAAGCGAACACAGACCTCGGGCTAAAACTGTCAGTGTGAATTATTCTTGTTAAAGACGGAGGAGCTCGTGTGTTTTATAAAGTGTGGGCGGACATTACCTTTCATTCAGCGTCTCCACAGCTCGTCGGCTTGTCCACGAAGTCTCAGCCCTCTGCTTTACCCCACGTCTGGTCACGTGGCGCAGCGACTTCCTATGGGGGTTTGACTACATTCATTAACTCACCCTAGTTTTACATTTGACTTTAGAGAAGTGAATATGGGAGTCACAACATTGACTTTATCATAAACCTACTTATAACTCATTCAAGTATATAAATGCAGGATTTCTGTGTGAAATCAAAGAATATACCAAAACAATACAGCTTTTCAACACTAAAAAAGTAATGAAATCGTTTTTTTACATCATTTATTTTTTCCAACTAATATTAAATTATCAATTAAATAAGCTGTACTGTCACTTCTGCTGGTTACTTTCTCTGTCTGCAATGTTTGTGTATACACAAGTTTGTAAATGAATTTGTTAAACATTCAGGATCAATAATGTATAGACCTCTGTCTCCTCAGGTGTTGTTTACCCAGCAGGTCACACGGCTGCCTTCCCAGAGGTACCACAGCCTCACACTGTTGCAACATCCCATAATTCACATATCAATAAGTGGATTGGTAAACTACAGCATACTAAAAATGTACAAAAAAAGACCCACTTTAAACAGTTTTATTTTTCAAATTATGTGCAATGTGAATTTCACAGTTGAGCTCAACCACAATAACCCGAAACCCCCAAAAACGGACAAAACCAGCAAAGTAAAAAGTGAGGAGAGAAATGCATGACGAACACAATGAAATAGCACCCATAGGCGATGCGTGTAGTTGACCAGAAGAAGCTAAGTATGGTAGCCCTAAGGCCACTAACTCTTTAACACCAATAGATTTTTTTGTAGCTTGTTGTATCACATGACTGGTGTTTGAAACATGACGTAACAATATTATTTGATCTGTAATGCTTAAGTTTCGGTGTGATGTTACAAAGAAATACAACTGTACTACAGACAGGGGAGGAAAAATAAGGAATATCAAAAATGTATCACTCGTGTTGATTATCTCTTTTTCCTTTCTCAACAGAGCAGGGTTACTCTACCATAACTAAATAGGTAATTACATAAGGAAAAAAAAACAGCCACTGGAGACAACAAAAAGAAAATCACATCTATTTTTTTTTCAAGTTATAAAAGAAACTGAAGTTTAAAAAACTGTGCAAGTACAGCAAACCTATAGTACAGTATATTACACATAACAAAAACATTTAAATACAGTACTGTGTATCAGTAGAAATCCTGAGAGTTCTCCGTTCCTGGTTCACAAATGGCCGTCTGTGGACATGTGGATGAAGCTCAAACATCTCGCCCTTGATGAGGGAGATCGTTCAAGCTGGATCGATTAAGAGTTGGTTCAAAGTCAGTCAACAGTGGATCTTCTCTTGGAGAAGTTATATCCTCAAGTCCTTCCTGGATGCGCGTCTTCTAGTATTCATTTCCATGTAAATCTCTTAAGATGATTGCTATGCGGTCGCTGAAACCTTTCTTTTGTAATAGAGGGGCACTCTGTTAAGATAAAATACAAGGGAAATGTGTAGTGCAAAGATGACACAGGAACCTGCATGAGGAAATTGACGGCACTGAAAATGTCACACTTTGACAGGGAACCCCACTCAGTGGTGGTATTACTTCTTCTATACAAGATTGTCAAAAAAAAAAGAAAACAAAAAGCAGCACCAACAGTTTTTGTCCTCTGTGTGATGGCGTGTAAAGACAGATTCATGGCCGGTCGATAAATTAGCACACAACCGGGGCCACCCTCGCTTGTTTATAGTCTGCTTGAGGGTGCTTGGTAAAGTTTGCAGTTTAAGGACCGCTGAAGTGGAGAGTGATTCAGTGCAACGCTGAGTAAGACTTTTCAGATACTCTTCATCAGAAGGTAATGGTTTTTTTTGTTTGATTCTGATGCCACTTTTCTAGCCACAGGCACATTGGCATCCCAAATGATCTGCACTAAATTACACATCACTTCAAGCCTGCACCCATGCAACAACCAAACAATCATTATTGGAACCTATGTGATTTTCACTAGCAAACAGACAGACAAAACAATTAATGCACTTTTACTAAGGTAATATATCATAATACAGCCTAATCACAGTTCCATGAGTTATTGCTACCACAAAATTCTTTTCAATGTCCAGATCAACTATAACAAGACCTCAAATGCTTTTTTGGCATTTTAAGAGGAAGGCTCTTTCAACCTTTTACAAAATGTTTAATTCAATGTCAAAAAACAACCTCAATGGAGCACAATGCTGGACAAAGCTTTTCACACAGTAGCTTTGTCAACACGACGGCCTGAAATGTCCCTTTTCTCCTTATCAAAGATCTCTGAAGTGTCTGAGGTAAGCCTGTTAGTTGGTCTGAACGTTCCACTTAGTGTTGTCACAAATTTGACTCCGTCCATATTTCTCCAATGTGGAGAACGTGTACTCTAGCATTTCACTTAAGCTGTCTTTGCATGTGACACAAAATGGATTCCAACTCAAAAGAGTGGGAGTTACGAGCCCCCATGCAACTGGAATCTCAAAGTTAAAGAAAAAATAGCATGGAAGCCACACATAGTGTATTGTTTGACACACTGACGTTTGTGAAGGAAAAGAGGGCCATAAAAATATTATTCAAGCTTCAAAAACACTAAGGTAATGTAAATCACACTTCAAATTTAAACTTATCTATAAAATAAGCTAAAGAGAGACTTGAGCACAAAATTAAAAAAAAAAAATAAACACAAACCTCAGAGCCAACAACCTACTACGGTACTCATCTTACCCGTATGAATATATAGTTTATATAGTTATTTATATATATAGAGAGAGAGATTTAATGCTGACATGTAGCATCCATATCACCAGAGGGCACTTTTATTCTGCCAACACCCTCATTTGCATGCTTATCATTTGTAAAAATCCTTACCTATATATGTATCTAAAACAAAAACAGAACAACATGGCTCAACAAGAAGCGGGAAAAAAAAAGAAAATAGGATAATTGCACTTATGATTCATTGAACGGTTTGTTAAACAAGCATCGGTGTGTGTAGTTGGTGCTGTCTGGGAGAAAAAATACTGCAATTTTTAAAAGCACCCCCATTTTGATCATGTTAAACCAAAGTTTGAACGACTTAAGACTTTAACCAAAAATGATCCTTGTGGTGCATCCCAAGGTTACACCAGGCACAAGGCAGGCAGGATCACACCACTCCATCTGCCTCACAGATTGGTTTCACAAAAAATGAGCTACCTCAAAGCACTTTCTGGAGACATTGTGGGTAAAGTTTGGCCACCACACATTCAAAATGGCGGCCCAAATCCCAGAGGCGGTCTGGTGTCTCATAGACTTTGGTCCATGCGTCTGCCTTGTCGTCATACTGGTAAAGGGAGTTCTTTCGGCTGGTGCGAAACACGTGCTCCTCCACCATGACCTGTGTGGCTCGCACAAACAGGTGCAGCTTGCCTTGAAGCAGCATGGCCTTGATGTACGGGCTTGTGGCTTGGTCAAAGGGGAGATCACGCTTGCGGCTCCAAGTGTTCTTCTCTATGTCGTAGACCTCCAAAGTGAAGGTGCGCTGATGGTTCCTGCAGATGCCAGCAATGTAGTAGATGCAGTTCTTGTGCAAGGCGGCCAGACCTTGACTCCGAGGGACACTCATAGGGGCCAGATGACTCCAGTAGTCCTTACGCGGATCAAAGCAGAAGAAATATTCACCTGCAGAAAAGAAAAAGAAATGTTACTTATGTGACATCAAATGCTTTAACATACTTCACCCATTTTCAGTTCTGTTTGAATTAATGATAAATATAACATGATTCCCCATCATCTTCAGTCCACTGTAGAGAGGAAATAGTTTCACAGTTTCAGCTTTAACTCACCTTGGAGGACATAAATTCGATCTTTGTACTCCACAGCAGAATGAAACTCCATGGCAACTGGCATGGGACTGACTGCTGTCCAACAGTTGTCCCTGGCATCATAGTACTCTACTGACTTTAACGCATTCCGCCCATCGCCTTCGTAGACGCGGCCTCCCAGTGCATAAAGCTTCCCACAGCAGTGCACGAGCCTGCAGCCTATCCTCGCTCGCAGTAGAGGTGCACGTGGAAGCCAACGGTTGCCTGCATGTTCGTACTGCCAGAAGTCACTCTCCGCTCTATGGTCTATAGACACCTCACTGTTGCTCGGCCGGTAACCGCCAGCGATGTAGATGTCGTTCTCCGAGGACACCAAGATACCGACCTCCCGGAGATCATTGGGTGGTTTGCAGAGCTTGAACACCCTTCCTGTGGCTGTGTCCAGGCAAGGCACCGTCTGCTTCTTCCCTGAGTGTTTGTGAGCAGCATCGAAGCAGATGACCATCTCAGAAGCGGTCATACCCAGGCGCTGTGGGCAACCATTGGTGCCGGTGAGGCGGGCTTTGGCCTCAGCAACCTCTTTAGACAGGGACAGGGCGCAAGCAAAGGGGGCAGGTATCCCAGTGAGGAAGGCCTCCTCCAGTAAGGGCAGACGGATGCACTGAGAAAAAACCTCGGCTAGGTGGGCCTCACGACCAGACAGATCATGCTCTAGCCAGCGGACAATGCTCTCATAGACATGCTCTTCCTTTTCCACGTTGAGGTCGTCATTGTTCAAAATACTGACCAGCTGCTCCTTGGTCATCTGCAGGAATTCTTGCTCCCATGACACACACAGAAACTAGCACAAAAACATAAAGTAGTTTAGTTATTTCACAGTATACACACAGGGAAGACACAAAACACTGTTATCAAGAGTAAAAAATATCTTTGGGGGAAAACAATTATGAATAAAAAGTTAATTTAAGAAGAGGAAGGCATAATTGTACAATCAGAATACAGAGAAGAACCAAATGTTAGACTGACCTTCTTGCGGATGTAGTCCTGTGAGCGTTCCCTCAGCTCCTGGTGCCCATAGGCATCAGCAAACATGTAGACCCCAATACAGTTCTGTGGGTCTAGCCGGCTAATCATGAACTGGGCACACTGGTCCTGTAGTGCAGGAATCTGGAAAATGCTGGCTGCGGTGAACAGGGCCTGGACATTTGACTCCGAGAGAGTGACCCTGGATGTGTAGGCATAGTCTAGGACAAGGTGCATGGATTCAGATTCCACCCCGACAATTCTGACCTCACGCTGGCTGCTCTCTGTAAGGCCACTGGTGAACATGGACCTGATGGTGAAAGCAGAGAAAATAGAAATACTTTAACTATATTAAACAATTCTCAAGTTAAAACTCAACAAGGAAATGTGATCTGGATATCATTACATAAAATTAGATCGGATGTATCCATCTTACCTAAAATATGGGCTGATAGCTGCAAGGACATTTCGGTGACATGAGAAAGTCTTGCCATGGTCCACTTCTACAACAATGTCTGTGAGCTGTGCTTCATCGTACAAGGCTTTGAGCTGCTGAAGGATGTTACAGGCATGAACAGCATCTACCCCGTTATAATTAGTTGTTGGAGGTGTCCCATTTTGTACTTGTGACAGCTTCCCTACCTCTGGACAACACAGTATAGAGAGAGAGAGAGAAAACACAAGATTAGCATATCACCTTTGGATCAGAGTAATGATTCTAGTTAACTTTAAAATTTTCAGGTACAGAGAGCACATCTGGTGAAAGAACAGAATTCAGAGAGAAAGACGGGGACTAATGTGAGCAAACACTCTAGATCAATGTGTGTTGGGTAATGCACCTAAAAGCTGTCAGCAAAGAAATGAAAAAACATATAGAGAGACATCATTGATAACCTCAAGATCATCTTCTTTTATGACAAAAATATTATTTTGATTGTGTACTAGTTACCTGGAAATATTACAATATGCACTATGCAATGACTCCAGTATATGTGACCAACACAACAGAAAATACAAGTGTTATGCTGACAGACACTGTCACTGGATTCCAAGAACTGGTAGCCATGATAACACACAAAGTACTAGACTTGATCAGACTCCCATTAGGATAACAGACATTTCATATTATTCCTGTTAGCATTGTTGACACACTCAATACATTTATATTGTTGTCCAGTCTTGTGAAAACAGAAAACATCAGTTAATAACAACATATGTACACTGTCATACCTTTAATCAGAGAACATGATACAGGACACAAAGGTGACTAGTTTAAATAATAAATCCAGTGATTACTAATCTACACTGTTCATTTTTTTTGAAATATGTCAATCAAGACAGGTCACTTTAAAATAATCTGAGATAAGGTTACTGTAGCAGTGTGTTTAAGTGAGAAAGGTACTGTATCCGCTCTGATCTCAAAATACACACAATATCAAAGTTGATTTAGATTAGATTTACAATATGGGCCACAAGTGTATCCGACCCAGTTATAATAATTACTAACTGCCACTGCAAAACAGCCCTTTTCTCTGAATCTGCTAGTTTGGAACTTTGAGCTGAAGCTGCCCATATTGTCACAGAACGACTTAAGACATAGGGATAACACATGGGCCTAGAAACTCGTGTTGCTCCCCGACACTGAGGGTCTGCAAAGTAAACATGTTTCTTATCTAACGTGTCATGGCAACTTAAATCCATATGGCATCCCAACTTAATGGCTCCTGTAGTGGGCTACCACACACACATACAGTCAGAGACACAAGAGGAAAAACTTTCCCAGCAAACACCTCGTGTTGAACAGGGCTAACTCCTTAACAGGACAAAGACTCCCGACGAGTGAACAGAGAACCACTGCCTCGCCAGGTGGTAGCTAGCTTGCTAACTCCTCGCTCAGTGCCCGGTACCCACAGCGATAACGTGGGTAGCTAAGCAGACTAACGCCAACTGTAACTGTACAGATTATTAAACAGTCCGGCCACACGAGAGATCGTCTAAATGTTTGTTTGCCACAGCAAAGCTCGCTCGTGGTTAAGTTAGCTAGCTGACATGCACGCTTAACTTTTAGCAAACAGCTAGGGACCGAGCTAATGTTAGCAAGCCTTCTTTGACACAACATTGCGAGATATAAAGGGCGATAAAGATCTCAACTGTTTTCAACTCTCCACTTTTAACTCTTAAAAACACAACAGTGGCTAGCGCAGTCGCTGGGGCGTTGATGCCGATAATAGTAACTGTACGAACAACTTGTCTACCCTTTGTCTCTTCTCACAAACAAGTGTTTACACAATCAGCTGTGGACTGCGAGCTAACCGGCCGAAAGTTAGCTCGACAGCTAGCGCTAGCAGCGGAGCCAGGCTAACGACAAGCAACACTTTTGAGGAGTCGTTCAGAGGCTGACCTCGTTCAACAAGAAGCCAACACGTCACGACTCTGCCCGTCGCTGCACAGAGCAACACCCCGCTAACGCACCGACACACAAACCACGCGCTCGAACGGCGTCACTGAAGTCTGATTGAAACACGAAAACAAGGAAGATTTCGCTAACCTCCACTGGCAGCCATTCTCTCCAGTCTGTCTCGGGGCTCACACCGAGAAACGTCAGTGAGCGCACAGCGGAGCCCCGGAAACAACGGGCAGCCAATCGGAGAGCGGAGAGCAGATGCGGCAGCCAATCACCGCGCTTTCGACTGAAATAGGGAAAAAAGTTGATGTGTGAGGGGAAATGATGAACAGAGGGAACCACTCTCAGGGGAGTCAAGCAAAACCAGCCAGGACAGCCAGGTTGAACCTGTGGGTTGAACAGGTGGATACAAGCCACAGCACTCTGAGGGGAAGCTGCGTCTGATCATGTTGCTGCACTGCAGGGAGACATTGTTCTCCTATTTACATACTCGTATGAAATAAAATGGACATAATCAATATGGGTGTGTGAGACCACCACACTGGATTCAATTTAAAACCATCCAGGGCCAGGATCCACATGTTAATACTGATGCACAATGTGTTTGGTTTGTTTTAAGGTTATATTTATATTTTCTTTAATTGAGTTTAGTATTTATTATATAACAAATTGTTTGTATTAAACTAACTATTTGTACAGCCTCTATACTTTTCAGCTATAGGACGCCTACATTTCCTTCAGGGTCAATACAATATCAATCTATAAATCTAACTATCTATCAATCTATCTAACTATCTATCTAACTTTCTATCTATCTATCTACATAGTCTGTCTATCCATCTATCTATAATATAAGGGAGGTAAATATATTTTACTAAAGAGGGCATGATATTCACAGTTTGATTCAGGACATACTTTAGTAATTTGGTAAACAAAGGATTTCTTTGTAATATTCACTGCTAATAATTAATTTATGTGTGTTTAGAAGCAAGTTATTCAATCGTGAATAAAAAAAGTTCAAACATTCTTCTGCTCCACTGCAACCTTTGCAGATCCTGCAGTTGTATTTCTAATATATATAAGGAACAACAATGGTCTTAACCCACACAGCTCCCAATGATAGCTACACTGTTAAAGTCCAGATATGTTTTTCTTCAGAGTTGGGGTGATGACTATAGTCAGGAGAGAGGGGAGAAAGCTATAAATAGCTACAGATACAGAGATATTTTTGGAGGACTCTTGCTCCTCTTTGAAATTCTATCGTTCGATTTTGTTTCAACAAGCATGCACGTCTGAAATATTTTGGATCTGTGTAGTCAAGGTCCAGACCCAAAATAATAATAATAGTGAAACTGAAAAAGTTCTTCTAATTCGAGGCAGTGAAAAATGTCAAAAGGAGAAAATTGCTGATTGGCTGTAGAATAATATCCAAGCAGTTAATATCCTCAAAGCAAAATGTGCTGCTCTGTGGCCCTGCACGCCTGTCGTCAACCACAACTTTGTTAGCATAGTGTGCTTGTGTGGCACAGTTGGCAGGAACACATTATCACTAGCACAGGTTCCTACCATAGGTCAATTTATTTGATGCGCTGCTGTGCTGGAATGGACACTTAAGATTGTATTTTTCCAAAACAGAGTGTGGCCTTGTTTACTCTCTTACTTGACTCATTAAGTTGGTTTTCATCCCTCACAGCAATAAAAACAAAAAATGTAAGTGAAATTTGAATGGCTGTAGACTTGTTATGTCTTCAGCATGTTTTCATATGTTTGTTCAGTTTTCTAAATGTATCTGAGCTGTCTGTGTAAACACATAAACTGTATTTCCAATGATTAAAGTTAAATGAATTCAGTTCTGGTAGGTTTATTCATGGCATTACTGCCTTAACCCTGAAAGACAGGTGGAATATTTAAGTAGTACCAGCAGTGACAGAGGAAGGAAAACATCTTGAGGTCAAACTTGACAAATGTATATATTTATCTGACTTTTTCTCTATCAATAATTTCACAGCCATTGTGTAGATTGTATAATGTGCCTGTTGTGTTTATAGATTTATTTAACACATTGATTATGAAAAGGTCAAATCTTTCTCATGTGCCACTGTAGTTTTCTGATGAGATAAATAAGGCTTGAAAAGGAAATATATGGACATATTTTATTTGGGATAAACTGTATGCGCAATATACAGTACAATAACATGACTCTCAGGAATGGATTTGCTTAAACAAAACTAAAGAAGCAAAAGTTTCTCCTTGAAAAGGTATACTTTAAGATGAAATATGAGTAGTTGCCCAGGGAAACATGCATTTTTCATTCCCCAATTAATTCCAACTTAAGTGTTTCATTAAAATGTTCTATTATTATGTTGATTGCATATTTCAAGCTCATTTGTAGTCATGACAGTTGATAATTCATTGCAGTTTGAACTCGCTAACAGAATTGGGGAGTTTGCTGGTGAGGGTCTTTTGACATTCACAACACTGCACCTGCAACCTCATCCTGTCAAGACAAATAAACTGTTCTTTATTGAATACTGTTTGCAATAACATGTTATCATTTAATCTGTATTGATTATACTAATCGTTCACTAATGGATTTGTAGGTATAATTACATAATACTTGATGATGGTATACCCAATGCACTAACCTGCTGCTGATATATATTTTGTATATTTGTGTTGCGTGTATTTAATATGGAGCATCACATAAAGTAATTATGTTTGATCCATAAAAGTTAGGTAACATGAAATATGAAGCTTAAAAAATACGTATTTATAAATTTTTTCTTGTTATCTTAGAGCTCCACTGCTTTTACCTCTTATTCCATCCATCTATCCCTCCATCCATCCATCCGTTATTTATACAATTATCCTTTTGAGGGTTGCATTCACACTAATATTCACACCCATGATCAATTTATGGTCTCTAATTAACCCAATCCCAACCTGCATGTCTTTGGACTGTAGGAGGAAGCCTGTACCTGAACATGCAAACTCCACACAGAAGGACCGTACATCAAACCAGGAGTTGAACCAACAACCTTTTTGCTGTAAGGCGACAGTACTAAACACGGCACCGCATGCCTTTACAAGTTATCATTATATTATTATACACACTATCTACTTTCATTGATTACACTTCGTCTGACACCTCAACTCCATTCAATGCATTCACTTCAACTGACACTTCAAAGCCTTTCATGTCTCACGTCTTCACCGGTGAAAAAGAATTCTCCCTTCCTCCAACTGCTTTGGTTTTTGCACTTCAGCTGATGCTGTCTTTTAGTTTATACACGTGACTTTCTGTCAGGAATTCAGCTCCTATACTGACACATATCCATCATATTCTTTCAGTGCTTGGATTTCAGCTGAATCATCAACACATTTCAGCACTTTCAACTCAACTGAACAATCTTCCAGCTTTCCCTTTTAAAATGTCGGTTCACTGTCTAGTAGGTGGATTCTATTTTTAAACGTTGCTTCAATATAAGCTGGTTTCAACCATTAATTTTAATTAAGTTATAACTATTCTTTAGAAAACTTAGTATTTTCTTGACACAGATGTATTACTTATAAATATAATACTGTGCAGTCCAAAAGTGCAGTGACATTTTCCAGTGTGCTGTCTCTGTACTTCAGCACATATTAAATATGAAATGACTCAGTGACAGTGAGGGTAAAGTGCTGACTCTCAAATCTTGGAAAGTTGACCCTGTCATTGTGGCTGCACTTTTCAAAAATACAGGACTCTATGTATAATAGAAGGTTGTATACACCATACCGTACACTGTTCACCTGCTTATCCAATATAAGGCCTTTTTCATGGCAGATATTTTTGACATGTCCTAATAAAGGAAAAGCACAAGTGTAAATAACAAAATGAATGATGACTGAATTCCATTTAGCCGCTTCGGGTTCAGGGTCCTGGCGTTTTTCATGCTAGCTCAACCATGTCCAACTTTCTGTGGTTGTGGATAGAACAGAACCATTGGTAATGTGCTTTCCCAACTGTGACATGACAATATGTCTGCTGTGAAAAAGGTCTATGAACTTGAACACTTTCAAACAGTCAGCACTTTGACTTTAGTTATTGTTTCATTTCAGATCGAGAGCTGAGTGCGCAGTCAAGTAATAGAAAATGCAACACTGTCCAACAACTTATGGGCTGCACTGTATGTTTTGGCAACGGGGTAACTATAATCATTGCAAGTAATGTCTATCACGTGTTTGTGATTTGATGATGGTGTTAAATTTCATATATGATTTGACAGTGTCTGTTTAAACATGCACAATGACAACATTCTATCGGTCTATGGTGCAGAGTGAAGTTTGAAAACATTGTATCCATCCTATCTGCAATGAAGCTGTTGTGCATATTTGATCAACAGCTTCAACTTTTCTTTGTTTTTACTCTCTAAAATGAAACGTAATATTTTATTATTGTTCACATACTTACTACCTAACTGCTGTTATTAAATCATACATTGCAAGTCGGCTATTTCAGAGGTCTGATCGACAAAATCTTCAGACCCAAGATCACAACTTTTCAAAATTAAAGCTCTGTGATTCAGTTTATCCCCGACTTTACAATACAAATGCCAGGTTTGAAGCTGATAAGATGAACCACATTAGGGCAGACAAGCTTTAGTGGAATTATTAGATAGATTTCTGCATTATTTTAGTAGTATTTGTTGCATGCAGAAGGAGATTGTTGAAAACTTAAGGGTAACGCCATTCTTGCAGTTCCATTATCACTGCTGTGTAGGCTGGAAATGCACTCTAACACTGCATAACACTAAAATGACAGAAGGAGAGACAAATAAAAGTACAACTGCAATCTAAGCAATCGATTTCATATTTTTTTTCCAATTTCTTCCCATTCAGCCACAGCACAGCCTGTGAAATTGGGCCCGGCTACTGCTGAATGAGAGAAAAAAGGCTTCCTGGGGCCTCTCTTATTTGATGATAGCTCTGGTTTCTGTTTACCCCTCCACAGATGTCCCCCTTTTCTTTGATACATTGAAACTGATAACCTGATATCTGCACTTTCTGCTTTCTCCCCATCTCGCAAAGAATTTTCTGGTCACAGCACTATGAACGAGAGATCTATTATTATAGTGTGGTTCACAATATGAGACTGTTTCAGCCCGGAAAACTGCAAGAAAGGCTGCAACCAATGAAATTAGAAGAGGTGACGATATAGGGATATGCCGGATCATCTATTGATGATCACCCTCACATCCAGAAACACCACC